TATCTAGGTAAACGGTCTAACATTTACTCAGTATTTTTTCCTACAGAAGATTAATATAGGAATATTTTTTAAATAATTTAGATGATCAAAATGCCTTTCATACTTTTTAGTTTGGTTCCTATATCACCACAAACATTTAATATAACTTCATATTCCGGTTGAATATATCATAAATAAATGATCAAGGCATCTAAAAAAATCTTTGAAAAAAATCCTTTATCTGTTACTCTTACTATTTTTCCAATGTCACTTGTGATTTTATTTTCATCAAAATCTGTCGTCATCTAAAAATAACTATTGGTAATTAGAAAAAAAAAGCCTATGATTCAAATAGACCAAAACTACAATGTTCGTACTATATCATAACATAGTTCGACCCCTGGTTGAGTTGAGAATGCGCTCTGTCAATGAGTCCCGTAGTGAAACGAAACAGCTTTGCAATCTTACCTGGTTTTCAAACGTTATCTAAAGCCGGTTCGTGATCTTAATAACATTCGATATTCTCTATAAATCCCCTATAATTATGTTTACATATAAGTGAAAAAGTTTGTGAATGTCGTAGGATAATGATAATACTGTTTGGAGTTGATCAAATTTCATATTAATTATGGATTTTAATGTGAGTTCAATAAACTAAGAAATTAGTTAACGATCAGTAATAATAAGACTTTATCAATCTTACCAAACTGTTGATTGGATAAGTACTAATGTTTAAAAAACATATTTTACCAGTGAAAGCATATTAAAAACACTAAATACAATAAAATAAATGGTGATTGAAACGTTATATCCATTAATACCTACAGGTATGTAATGATATCAGAATTGATCAACTTACTATGAATTATGATACTCTGAAATGTCAGTAACTTTCTATGTTAACAGCTTCGTAGTTTTATACTTGTTATATGATTTAGACATAGTGATTCAGTTCTATTCTAAAATTTTTTTAAAAAAGAAACAATTTTGAATGATAAGCAAAGATGGATAGTGGCTAGCAGTGGAATCCAGGATGCGCGTCACTTCGTCCCATTTGGGACTCATCAGCTGGATGTACCTGCATCTCAGAGTTGATGTTCACTCTGGGACTCGAACTTAGTACCATTCGCTTCAAACGCTATCGCGTTATCCACTCAGCTACTGAGCACATATGCCAATTACAGACTGACCAGTTGCAGTCCTAAACATCAATGGGAAGATTCAAACGAACAATACTAAGTGAATTAAATTTTGAATGATGTTCAGTAGTTTGTCAGATGTTTTATAAGGATACATCGTTGTGTTATTATTTGCTGATTACATGCTGTAACTATAATCATATGATTACTTTCTATACTTTTCGAAACAAATAATCCCCAGCTGTCTATCCTAGTACCATGCATCTATTACAACAGTATTTTGCCTATTGATCTGTGTTTCTGAGTTTATTTTTGAGAAGGATTTTTTTTCTTCATTTTTCTCATACAGGACCTACCTACAAGCACTATTGTAAATATGGCGACTACATAAGAATGAATTAGTAAACACGAAAAGTTATTAATAATTTTATTTTAACAACAACCTATCAATATCATCTCTAAAATCTTTACCGTCATCATTATAATCAAATTATTTCTCTTTGTAACATCATATTAGTAAATAGAGATAGGAAGAAATATAGATATAGATATAGAAAATTCTAGTGACCACGCCTCATAAGTGCTATGACCTTTAAATGAAAAGATAAACAAAATATTTATATTTATTTATTTTTTTCTCACAAACTTATTGTGTCAATTTTATATATATATTTTAAATTAATAATACACGCGATAGAGGTCCTAGTGGATGAACTACACTAAACTAATGGATAGATTTATTCCTCTTTGTAATTTCATACTTGTGCCATCTTAATAGATAGATATATAAATGCATATATGAAATTCATTTATAAATAATCGTGCATGATTTTTTTTCAAAAAAAAAAGAAATCTACCCGCATATGATAAAGTTTATTTCTGCTAACTGTTTCAAATTCATCTTTTTTGTTGTTTCAGTAGTAGTAAGATGAACTGTTTATTCCTTCATACTAATGACCTTGATAATAAGTTACTGACTCAGTATGAGCCCTTATTTTTTTTTCTATTGGTTATAATTTAATTCCTATTCAGAATACAATAATAAGCCTTGTATCTTTTTAATATATTTTCATCAGTTTTAAAGAAAGGGTAATATTGAAAGTCCAGATTTCATCATAAATAGTTCTGATGACATTCTTCAAATAATGTTATACATATAATATTCTTTTTTGCCTCAGGAATAAATTACCCTTCATTTATTTGCCTTAATAGTTAATTAATGAGATTTTGCATTTACTTTTTCTCCATTTAATCTTATGAGTTGTTTTTTTTCAAAATTTCTTTTTTTTTGTTTTCCTTTTCGTTTTTCGTTTCTTTTTTTTATATACATATACATGATTAATGTTAATATTGTTTTAAAAGATTGTAGTTATCTAATAGAGGCAACTTAAATTTTAAAAAAATATATATATAATCATCATTATCTTTGGAATCAATCAGTTCAGGTTAACATAACCAACAGGATAGCGTAAATGTCCAAAAGATATTACATCATTTTTTACTGAATGAACACATTTGATAAGAATATCATTGTCATGTTACATTAAATTGAAGTTTGTTAAAATAAAGAGACAAATTTGATCTCATCATTTTGTTGTTAATAAATGTAAAAAAGAGAGATAAATTGTAGTTATTATAATGTATATTGTAAATGATCCTGATCTAAATATTTCTGATATCTTAGTTGGATCCCTGTCAGAGTAGATATTAAGAGAAAGGGACATTAGGTGTCATAAAAATGTCAGAAGGGGTTTGGTGGAGATTTTAGTAATTTTATAGAGTTGAGATCATGAGTCACTTGAAGCTAGACCGCCATGGAAAACCTGGAAGCACTGGACGGCCGTTTCATCCTACTGCGAGACTCCTCAGCAGTGCCTGACGCGAGACTGGTAGGTCCTGGATTCGAATCTCGCTAGGCGAGATCGTGGATGCGCACTACTGAGGAGTCCCATAATAGGACGAAACGACTGCCCAGTGTTTCCAGATTTTCCATGGTGGTCTAGCTTCAATTGACTCATGATCTCAACTCTATAAAAGCCATAAAAATATATTTAGTGTATGCAGTGAATGGATCGCAATTCATTTTGTTGAACATCTCTTTCAAATCAATGAATTTCATGCATTTTCAAAAATCATTTTACCTACATTATTCAGTTTATCAGTCTCAGGTGTTATAAAATTAAGAAACTGTGATGTAACGGAATCTTGTGTAAGATGCAATTTCATGCGATAGCAAAACATTGTTGACGAACTAGCATCATTCTGTTAAGATTTTTGTATTGATCAGATTTTATTATTTTACAAAGTTAAGTCAGTGTCACAATAAAATACAATAGGCTATATATACATATTTAAAAATTTTTTAAAAAAATAGATGAACTAGCCTCAGTAACTATGAATTTTTGACACTAAGAATATTTTGATGGTTGTTCATCAGAAATAACTAAGAGATCTGGAACTCTCTAGGTACAATTCATTTTAGATAATTTAAAAGAAATGAAAACTGATATTAGCACGAAATGTTAGAAGATTTCGTCATAGTAAATAATGAATGCAACAGATTATTTATATTAAATTTGAATTGTTACTAACAGCTCCAGTTGAATGTATCAGCATCCTAGTGTTGACTTTCGCACGGAAAGTAGAGCGTTGTATCTGTCGATTCAAACGCTAGAGTGTTGTTCACTTATCTGCTGAGTCTAGGTATTAACTTACTTGTTCACAGGGTATGAAATTTCTTTTAAGGTTTTATATTTTCTTGTCATTATTAATGACTGAAATAGGTCTCATCTTGAACATGAACTTTGTGATATAGGTACATCTAACTGACTCATGTCCTGAATCTGATTGATAATCACAATCTAAATTTACAAAAAAAACATGACAAGATAGCAATAGTGACCTAACCAGCTCAGGCTGTATATATGCTAACGTAGACTGATGATTTATAGACATTCATATCAAAAATAAGAGAATACAAAGGTTTAAATATGAATTGTTTCTAGGTTGCAAATAATTCGACAAAATACTCATTCACAAGGATGGTTTTGAAAACAGTATATATTATTAGGAGACTGATGAAATAATTGAAGAAGCGGTTTACATCTTGTGTTTAGTGATGGACTGATTCTTCATGAGGGAAATTTACACAACCTTTTTTAAGCATTTTTTAAATTTCCGTATTGTTAGTATTTATTATGAATCATTAACTAAGTTCTTCTTTGAACTTGTGATCAATAACTCTATTATAATGCTTAAATAGGGATGAGAAAACGTTCTTACGTAACAATCAATAATTTGATAAAGTTACAATTTGCCATAATTTTCTGTGATAAGCTAAAGAATATTCCAAGACTTTCAATACTTTAGAATATAAAAAATCTATTCTTTGCCAAAAAGTCTTACTCTCTATCGACTGATAACTGGTAAATTACAATCAAATGAGAAGAAATATCAAGAGCCATTGTTAATTAACGCCCGCTCATAAATTGCCAAATATAATTTATCACAACACTTAACCAGACGTACCCTATGTAATATATCAGTGAGGAGTTTTAATGTGTTATTATATGTTGACTGTGGCACGTCCGAGAAAGTATTCATTTACACTATATTTTTAGATGAGGCTATTTGTTCAGAGTCAATAAACAGGTCGCTATTTTAGAATTTTCTTTCAAAAACCTAATATTAGAATGAACCTTATTCTGTAGTAACAGATCAATATTTTAAAAGATGGTTATAGGAAATGTAGAATCAATACTAAAAGTTAGAATGATTTGGAAATATCAGGAATTCAATATTTTTTCTTCAAAATCTATTAAATTTTCTTGGTCAAACATTTTAAATAGTTTTCTTTACTTTTCTCTCATGTTAACCGATTAGATTCTCAACCATCTTCTCCTGGAGAATCCGAAGCTGTTTCTCCAGTTGCACCAGGTTGTTACAATCCTCGTTATCCTCCTCATCACCATCATCATATGTTAGGACCAAATTTATCCTGTCATCCTGGACCAACGGATATGGTAATTTTGTTTTGTCTTTTCCGGTTATTCAAATTTAAATTTAGTTCCAAATTTTTTTAAAATGTGCATTATTCTGCTGTTATAGAATAACAACAGTTGTATACAAATTCACACTTAGTTTTTCAAGTTTTAAATAAGTTTATATGAGAGGATAGTTTATGTCAATCATTTGTTTTGTGTTTGTATATTTGTATGTGTTAATGAATTCATGACTTAGCTTGGAATGTTTATGCATATGCTTACTTGACAACATTTAAAGCTAAATACAGTAGGCATGGAATCACTTCTATTATTGATTCCTGTTTATTCACATAAATCAAGTTAGATTTATGCTTATAAGTATTAAGTATAAACAATATATATATATATATATATATATATATATATATATGCGGATGCTACTGCCACTGCTACTGTGACGTGTGTTATTTATGTCGACAGACATAAAGAGTATGTAATACCAATAAGTGGAATGTTTGTCGAAAGAAGATTAAAATAAGGAGAAGAGAAAAGGAAACAGAATGGAATTGGGATACAAACTGAATTAGAGGACTCATAAAGGATGTAAAGGAAAACTGAAAGATGTGCATATGATGCATTTGATAGATGATTTTCACATTTTTTTTGTGTATCAATCATCGACTTGGTCTTCCACATCCGAATGTTCATTCACTATACTACTATTGCGAATTATTTTTCAGCAAAATACCAACGATCGTAATTGCAAACCGGATTTTTTAGATTCTATTTCCAGTCGATTACTCTATCGTGGAATTAATCGGTATAAAACCAAAATAGAGGCACCTTTCTATAATTGATTACTTGAATTAGGTGCCAAACGTTACTTTACAAAACCAGAGAACATTAGGCACAGCCGGTATAAGTTTAATTACACTTAACACGTACAAGACAAATATGAAACAGTTGCTCTGAAAGTTTTAAATTTCTCTGATTATTTTTCCGACATGAACTTTTAACGAATTTAATTTAATTTTCATAGCCCATGTAGATATTAAGAGATCACTGAGTCAGTAGTTGAAAAGTTAAATAGATTGAGATTGACATTAAGTCCATAACCAAAGTTTCTTATTATCGGTAACTCTACAATAAGCTGTATATCCAATATGCTACTTCTTTTGGAACTAGAATGAGCGTCACCTAACGATACAGGCAATGACGTTATCAGTGAGCTGTTCGGTCACTGACCAGCCTCCAGTAGGATTATGATAAAATAACAAAGTACTTCACACTTAGTCTCGAATGAAACTCCCTCTGGCCTTCTAAAAAAAGGATCAGTACATTACAGTTTGATGTTAGATGCATATGGATAGAGTTGAATCAGGATACGACCATGATTAATCAAAGTTTCAAATGTTCTGCAGTTTTTCCATGGAAATATCAGTTTAACCAATCAACGCTTAACTTATATGGATTCTCAATAAAAAATATTAACATACAATATCATGTCGGAAGTGAAAATTTAATTTTTTGAATCTAATGACCTATGATTGATGTTAATAAATGTTGTCTATCATCTAAATTATGGGTGCGCATTAAAGTATTTAAATTAAGAATACTACTGTTCCATATTTTCTAATTATTAACTTACATTTTCATATAGTTCTGTCTTATTAAAAATAAGTAGGTATTAATACAAGTGGCTTATGGCGATCGTTAAATTTTCATAGCTTTGGAAAAGGATTGATGTTAGTAGGTTAATCGTTAAAAATTAGGCAGTACTGGGCAGCTGTTCCGTTTTAAGGTTTGCGATAATGCATGACCATCTTGAAGTTGGACATATATATAATTCAATTTCAGCTCGGCAGTTTAGCGTTCGCACGCGAAACCGAAGGTCTTGGATTTTATCTCATGTGGTGGATGCGTACTACTGAAAAGTCCAACATAATTTAAATTGGCTGTTCATCTAAGATCGATCCGTAATGTGAACTGTGAAAATAAGTAAATATACGGAGCACAATTTAAGGATAATCGGATGCTGCTAAATGCTTATTATTAACAATACAAATTGTAAAACACCATGTTAGATAACTTTAAATCTGTGGGTTTGAATTATAATTTACTTTTGATTTTTTTTCCTGACAAACCATGGTTACCACTATATTGTAAATACTAAATTCATCTTACTATGGTTTATCGAACTGACCTGTGAAGAGTTGGATAATTTGTTGAAAGACTTCTGTTTGATATGATTTTAGCAAGAAGTCCAACTAAGACTTTACTACAACAATCTTTCTTAAATCCCTATTATGTCCTCAATCTGAAGTAGACAAGTTTAACCTGGTGCACAGTTGAAATCAAAACCTTCACAACACTGTTCTACCACTCGTTTGATTTAAAAAACTGCATTAGAGTTAGCAAGTTATAACTTTAACTAGACAATAATTAAATACTCAACAACTACTTTTTCCCACAGAATCTGTTTTAATTTATTGTCCGAAAGTTATGAAATACAGACGTAATATAGTAGTGAATAATGACTACTGTTCGTCATTAACTGTAATTGTAATAGGAATAGTAGTTTCAAAATACCAAAGAATTGAATATAGTCCAAAAAATATGGATAACTGGTTTCCTACTCAGAACATAAACCTAACGTAAATCTAACAATATACACTGACAGTATAAGTAACATCAATATGTCTGCATATAAACGGATGAACAAATGTAAATCTAACCTGGAATCCAAGTGTCAAATGACCGAGTTCATTTATCATAACACTTTTAACAAATTCATTTCCACAAAATATAAAGATACTATATTTAAAAAAATAGAAAATACATTTGATTAGAACTACTCTTATTCCGTTTTAAAAATAAAACGTTACCTACACAGTAGGTGGCCATAATGTATGTAAATGTTTTTCCCATATATTTCATTACTTACTCCTTTATATAAACAATTATTGACTTTTGATTTTCAATATGCAAATTTTTTTTTCTACATACCTACACACATACATATATTATGCATTCATGGAGAATTCAGTCATAAGAAGTCTACGAAGGCACATTAAGAGTTAAAAATTCACAGTGATATTGTTTAATTTTTCTATTCATATTCTTGAATACAAAACTAACAGACTATACAGTTAAGAATGTATATATATGGTAGAGTTTTCTATTCTATCATAAACTGACGTGTATTTAAAATCTGTATTCAATGTGTGAATGATACAGTCCATATAGTTTTTATGACAGTTAATGACATTTTTCTATAAGATTTTCTCATCCAAAGACAGATATATTTTAAAAGAAGTTAGTTAGTTAACTTTACCATAACCATATAACCATCAAAATGTCTTTGTAGTTGACTGATGAATGAACTAGATTGAAAGTTGGATGGATTTTTTTTCCTAAAGAAATTCTGGTATCATTAAGCATTCTTTCATAGAATATTTCATTTGTGATTCATATTAATTTTATTTAATAAATCAGTATACTAATCCAGAACTCATTGTAAAGTAAGTATATATAAGTTTGACTTTAAACCTGTTTGAAGAAAGAAAAAGCTGTCTCAATTAATTGTACGAAATATAATTGTAGTGAAGGTGTTGTTAAATTTAGTACTGATATCCTAGAATCAACCTCTAGTAACTAACATAATTCAAGAATGTATAACATTCTTTGCAGATGAGAAACTTCATAGAATGTACTAACAAAAGCTACTTCTACAGACAGATAAACTTAAATTGGAAAATAATGTATATCATTTCATTCATTTAGTTGTGAGTAACATTTTGCCGATGTACCATAACTTATTCATTAGAGACCTTAAGAAGGATGTGAAAATACAAGTAAACAACAATAAGTGATTATAACTTCACCCTATCGCACAAGCAGGTGGCTATCAGGACTCAGTAGATAAATGAATAACGCGATGGCATTTGAAGCGAAATGTACTGGGTTCGAGTTGTGGAGTGAACATCAACTCTGAGATGTAGGTACATCCAGCTGATGAGTCCCAAATAGGACGAAGTGACGCGCGTCCTAAATTCCACCGCTATCCACTATTCATTTTTCTTTATAAAGCTTGTGACTTCAGACAATATCAGGGCAGTCTGCATAGGATGCACATATGCCAACAAGAGACTGATCAATTGTAGTCCAAAATAACAATGGGAAGATAAAAGTAAACAACAATAAGTGAACGTAAGAACAAAAGTTTTAATTCCTCCGTCATAGTGAAGAATTATTTTTGAATGAATGTTTAATCTACAATAAGATCCGAATGAGTCAAAAATAATTTTTTTTTAATACTTCACAACAATCATTTCTCTAAAGAATAAATAAACTCTTCAAGTTAACACAAGTTTGATTAATACAAGGAACAAATCAAATCAAGTATTCTGTGCATGTATGGAAATATGATCATACAAATGTTATATCATTCAGGTCAAAGATGATTTTATATAAAACATGATTTATGTATTCTTGTGTATTTGAGTAGTTGTGCACAAATGTGATATTTGTAATGTGATCGAGTAGTTTAATTGTTATGAGTGTTTGATGAGTGATTTTGAACAGGTTAAATGTGACAGTTTTGATAGATTGTGCAATTATTATAAAGTATCATAAAACACTACATAATTAAAACTTCAGATTACAAAATCCATGTGGAAATTCATTGGTTCATATAAAGGAAAAAAAAATCCTGTATGCATCAGTACAAAACTGTCCATAGGTTGGAATGTGTTGAATATGACTCATTTTAATCGAGAAAGTCCTCTCATAAAGTCTTATCTTGTTCCAAAGAACTCTGGCAGTCATCATCTCATTTATGTTCGCTACCTCTTATCAGGCATAGGCTACCGACCAGGGATTCCTAATATACTATGTTCTGTTCTCTCTCTTCTAGTTGTTGCTAAATGGTACTCATAATCTTGGTGTCTGCCTCCAGTTTCCAGTACAATATGTTCTTTGATTTGACCACTTTAATTCTGCTTTGGGGATTCCAATTCAGGGTCTGCTTTATGATACAGTTTAATCGTCTCTTTAAACTGTGTCCCATTCATCTTCAGAGTATGTCTTAATTTCCTCATTAACTAATAGCTGGCTCGTTCTCTGGCAAATGGATCTAGAGGTTCTCAGATGGATAGTTGTTAACAAATAATTAATCATCTCTGGTGATGATGAAAGTAGTTCTATACGTTTCAGTTTCGCGCAATAGAAACGTTCTAACGTTGATGTTGAAAATTTTAACATTGCTCTCGAGTGACAATTGTTTTAGTTTCGGGTACCGTTCAACTATAGAAGTATTGCCCTTACCTTGCCAATTTGTGCACTAATGTTACTTTACCAGCATCAGATGCCATTTACATGTCACTAATGCGGTTCAGATATGTAAAGATTTCCACTTCACCTAGAGCTTCGCTATCAAGTGTGTTTGACTTAGTTCTCTCTGTGTTGTATTTCAGGATCTTGTTTATTTTGGTTTGTATGTTGAGCCCTACTGATGTGGAAGCCGCTTCTAAACTGGTTGCCATCGCCTGCATTTATTGCTGTGTATGAGACAGAACTACTTGGTCATCTGCAAAGTTCATACCATCCAGTTGAGTTCAGAATGTCCACTGTGTTTTGTGCTTCTCCTCAGATGTGAAGGGTCACATAATCAAGCCAACAACCAGAAGAGACAGAAAAGGCGAGAATAAGCAACCTTATCGTCACTTGGAATGCATATGTAGAGTGTCTTACATTTATATCTTTGCAGTATAATCCGTTATAAGAACTCCGTATAATTGTGACAATCTTCACACGTACATCATAGTATCGAAGAAGGTTCGATAAGATTCTCCTATCCACTCTGTCAAATGTTTTCTCATTGTCAAGGAAGTTGATGTTTAGTGACGAGTTCCATTCAATTAATTGTTCAACGATGATCCGTAATGTTGCGACTTGATATGTGCACGACCGATCCCTATAGAATCCAGCCTGTCGATCTAGAAGTTGGGCGTCTACTAAATCTTTCATCTAGTTCAGCAACACTCTGTTGGAAACTTTTCCTTGTACCGATAGTAGTGTGATGTCTCTGTAGTTTTCACATTTTCTCAGATTTTATTTCTTTGGCATCTTGATGAAGCATCTCTATTTCTAGTCTGTTGGTGTTACTTGTTTTTCCTCCCAAATCTTCCCTGATAGAACTTGGAGCATCCTTACAGCCACTTCTATGTCTGACTTCAGTGATCTAACCGGTGTGTTTTCTGGTCTTGCTGCTCCCCCACTCTTGATTTGCCTGGTGAACATGTTGATTTCTCTGATTGTTCGTGAAGCGACATCTATAGGAAGGTTTGCAGGTACTGTTTCGATGTCCGGTGGGTTCAATGGGACTGGTCTATTCAGTAGTTCTTTAACATTTCCTACCCACTTGTCCCACCGTTCTTGAACTTCAATGGTCACTCTACTTACATTGTTATTGACTGGTTATTCTGGTTTATCATACTTCCCTTTAAGCTTCTTCTGTTGTTGTTGCCTGTTCTTATACATTTTTATACTCATCAGCCTTAATTTTCTTCCTTAGTCATTAGTTCTTTTCTGTATGTTCGACCTGTGGCCTAAATTTCTCTCCTCTTGTTCAGATATTGTTGACATTTTTCTTCTTCGTTTTCTGTCAAGGTGATCTACAGAGATACATTATTTATGGTGATGCTTCTTGGGACCTATCACCTTCTGGCGTAATTACGTTATTGTTTCGTTAATCCATTTACATTAGTTATCATAGTGGTTTCATCTTCTACTAGATCTTGTAGGGCTTGAAATATGTTGGTGGGAGTTATATTGGACTCAAAGAAGGGGCGTATTAAACTTTTTCAGTGTTGCTCACTCAGTTGTCCAATGCTTGCCTAGCTTCGTTATAGCTAAGCCACTAGTAGGTAGACATATCAGCTCTTCCTTACCTGTACGTCTTTCATGGCTGTTCCGGATTTTTACTGATGCATGTGATCGATACGGTTTTCGTATTGTCGTCAAGTTTAAACCATGAACCTTTTTATAGTTCTTTGTAGGAGAAAATGCTGCCGCCTATAAGCATGTTGTTGAAAGTACATAAATTGATCAGCATCTCATTCTTTTCTGTTCTTTCTCACGTTCTATGTTGCCCCATGATGCATTCATACCTACTGCTGTCTATCACAATCTTGACTTTTAGGTGCCCAATTAGAATGATCAGGTGTTTTTCTGGTCAGTTCTCTTTGCCAGACTGCAGCTTCTTATAAAACTGGTCTGCCACCATCAGTGGTTATGTATCACTGGATGACATTCACTGTAATTCGTTCACTTTTTTGAACGATGGTTTGAGGATTCTGGAACCACGAGATTTCCATTTTACAACTGGTAGTCATGCTTATTCGAATGACATCGGTGCCATTCCCTGTGCTTTTCGTCTTCAAGACCAGAATACAATAACAGCTCTCCTGAAGTTAATCTCTTTTGTTCAGATTCTATCCAATTGGTTTCATTTGTTCCAAACACCGCCAGTTTGTATCTTCTCAGTCTCGCAACTATTTGAATGGTCATCCCGATCTTCTACATTGTGAGGACACTTCATGACACTACGTTTATTATTGTCCCAGTTGTTAGAACAGGAATCAGGGTAGTAATTTCCTCATAATATCGGCCCTTTGACTCTCAGGCCATACTTTAAATATACTAGCCTGTTTGGTTTAGTTAAAGTTTTATAATGGGGTTCTTTCTTACGATATAGAACTACTAGCTCTAAACCCCACTCTACTCCTTTATCTGGTCACGGAACCATCAGTAATCCTAGATGAGCTCTCAGAAGAGATAAGGAACACTAAAGCAACACCAAAAAAGAATGTATTTTTGCAGGACTACAAGATCGATTTATCAAATTATCAATTTATTCCATAATCAGCCAACATGAAATCAAAATTTGACATGCTCAAATAATTCAAAGAGGTATCTTAAGCTATAAAGAAAGACTAGTAGCTGACTTATTTCATAAATTGCTAAATCCTGGAAATTCTCAATATTAAAATTGAATAAGCTATTTTACCTACACAGACAATCTATCAAAACAGTCACATTTAACCTGTTCAAAGTCACTCATCAAACACTCATAACAATTAAACTACTCGATCACATTACAAATATCACATTTGTGCACAACTACTCAAATACACAAGAATACATAAATCATGTTTTATATAAAATCATCTTTGACCTGAATGATATAACATTTGTATGATCATATTTCCATACATGCACAGAATACTTGATTTGATTTGTTCCTTGTATTAATCAAACTTGTGTTAACTTGAAGAGTTTATTTATTCTTTGGAGAAACGATTGACATTATGTTGTCAAGTGCTAAAAAGTTTAATTTCATGTTCATTGTGGAACGACCGTCCATTGCTTCCAGGTTTTCCATGGTGGTCTAGCTCCAATTGACTAATGATTTCAACTATATAAAAAATTAATATTATTTCTTTAACATTATAAACTGTGCTTAACTGGTAATTTATTTCAAATAAGCAAGTGAAATTTTGATAGGGATAGTTATTTATCATGATTAATAAGCTTTTACTTTTGTTCAACTGTTTAGATTCCACCAGGATATCAACGTCATTTATCCAGTCGATTAGATGATGATTCTTTATGTGGTTCATCTGATGTAGAAAATCTTCGTTCAGATTGTTTACATTCCAGTTCACTTCCCAATAGTCGTACAGGTTATGATATGAATGGATCATGTTATACACCAAATTTTCATATGGTTAATTATAATTCACCTTATTTTATGGATAAATCTGTTGTTCAAGATGGTTCAGTTTCTTGTGACGAGTCACTATCTCATCTGCATTCATTTCTTTCACCATATGGATCAACTGCTTTAAGCAGTGCAGCATTTCATGCCAGTTTAGATGGATTATATGTTGGTGGAAAGCAAAAACGTGGTGTACTTCCTAAACGCGCTACACAAATTATGAAACAATGGCTATTTCAGCATCTTGTAGTAAGTCAATGATTAGATTTGGAACTATAAACTATTAAATTTGATACTTTGTTAAATCAAAAGAAAAAAACATAGTTTTAACAATAATTGGTGGCAACTATTTTTCATTGTGGTTAACTGCCAGGGGAAACTATACGATATCTTTGATTAGTTATCATTATCTCTTCAACAAAATGTTATCATCACTTCTCGTGTAGCCACTGTCCCTCTTTACTTCTCGTCTAGGTTTGAATCATTTATCTTGTCTGTTATCTAAATAAGATCTAAATTACTAGAAAAAGGTGACAGAAGAATTATTAGGTTCATTTTATTCTACTTAACCATATTATTCATAAGACAATGAGGTAATCTAAATTTCTATGTAACTTAGACATGTCTAATCAGAAAATTTGATCGTTTATCTTAACATCATGCAAATAATTATTTGACTGTATCAAGACGAACTGATAAAAATACATTACTTAATGAAATACTTCATGAGAATGGATTGAATCTCAATTTTCAATTGTCACTCGTCTGTAATACTAGAACAAAAATTCTTAGTGCATATTAATTGATTAGTTCAACTTACAATTGTGAAATAACCTCAAAAAGATATTTCAGTCAACAAAACATATGCTCACTAGTGACTGGCTCCATGAGGTATTTCCCGGAATTCTAGTGAGAAGCAGTAACCAGTGGAGTTCAACCAGGTCTGTTGTGAGATATCAACTCACTGAAGACATTGGTGAATGGTCGCTCAACTTCGTGGACTGGTTGAAGTTAGACATTAACACCGTTGGATGCCGGTTCAATGGTGTAGTGGTTAAGCGCTCGCCCGCGAAACTGATAGGTTCTGGGTTCGAATCTCGTGAGGTGGGATTGTAGATGCGCACTGTTGAGGAGTCCCGTAATAGTACGAAATGGCCGTCTAGTGCTTCCAGGTTTTCCATGATGGTCTAGCTTCAATTGACACATGGTTTCAACTATATAAAATTACTAAAATCTCCACAAAACCTCCTTCTGATAAAACAGTAATGATTTATCTCTTATTGATGAAGAGGAAATTTGAAAAAAATCTTCTAGTTTATTGTAAGCAATATGATTTTTTTTAGATTACTATGTTCAATTAATTTCTCATATTTTGTATTCAAACAGTTGAACAACTCTCTATTACTGTATATTATATATATTATATATATTACTGTTACACCTGATGGATGAGCACAAGCCGTTCAACAGCACTCTCCATCCAACCCTGTGCTGGGCAATCCTTTCCATTTCTTTCCACTTGCTATTTATCCTTTTCATGTTTGCTTCCCACTCCCGACGTATTGTATTCTTCGGTCTTCCTCTTTGTCGTTTCCATATAGGATTCGTGGTGTAGTTTGATGATTTTTTTCAAATGTGTTTTGAGTTCCATATGTTCTTCAATTGTAGGAATGCGGCCTTTGCTTTGCCAATCCTCGCCTTTATGTGACTCGATATCATATAAATATCAATAAGTGTCTAAATCCATTACTTTTTACTGATTACTTTTATTTATTTGAAAGATTTTAATATTTCTATGGTTATACTTTATCTAAATACGATGATTTATCCATGGAGCTCATATAAGTTTTGTAGATCAAACTATGAATAAAAAAAATCCAAATGACACATAACAGTCAATCATAACCTATGTAGTTACTGCCGGTCCCAAGCCCGGGTAAAGGAGGAGGGTTGGGCATGGGGTTAGCGACCCCATCCCGTAGAAAAGCTAACTCGCTAAAAAAACGCTAACCAGAAAAAATAATTCAAACCATTTAAACTCTGCCCTCCGAGTTCAAGGAATAATGACGTCTCATGATGAAAGCCGAAATTCTTCGGAAGTCACGAGGCCGATGCACCTTCTAACAACCAGAGCAACACTCTTTATAGGTACATGGAACGTCCGGACAATGTGGGAGACAGGAAAGACCAGCCAAATAGCAATGGAAATGAGGAGATACAACTTGGCAGTACTCGGAATCAGCGAAACCCATTGGACACAAACTGGACAACAAAGGCTAGGTACAGTAGAGATGCTGCTGTACTCCGGTCACGAAGAGGAAAATGCTCCACACACTCAGGGAGTTGCTCTAATGCTGTCCAAAGAAGCACAAAATGCACTTGTGGGATGGGAATCTCATGGACCCAGGATAATCAAAGCATCATTCAGAACAAAGAAGCAAGGGATCACAATGAACGTTATCCAATGTTATGCACCCACCAATGATAGCAACGACGATGATAAAGATCAGTTCTATGAAAGGCTGCAATCAATTATAGCAAAGTGCTCACGAAAGGACCTCACCATCCTTATGGGAGATCTAAATGCTAAAGTTGGAGTGGACAACACAGGATATGAAGATATAATCGGACGACATGGACTAGGAGAAAGAAATGAAAATGGGGAGAGACTTGCAAACCTATGTGCTTTCAACAAATTGGTTATAGGCGGCACAATATTCCCACACAAACGCATACACAAAGCTACATGGATTTCACCGGACCACACCACAGAGAATCAGATCGATCACATCTGTATCAACAAAAAATTCCAAAGATCAATGGAAGATGTGAGAACCCGGAGAGGAGCTGACATAGCTTCAGATCACCACCTGGTTGTGGCCAAGATGAGACTGAAGCTTAAGAAACACTGGACAACTGGACAAACAGCACTACAAAGGTTCAATACAGCCTTCCTTCGAGATACTGACAAGCTCCATGAATTCAAGATAACTCTCAACAACAGGTTCCAAGCTCTACAGGATCTACTGAAAGAACAAGAAACTACTTTGGAGGACAACTGGAAAGGGATAAAAGAAGCACTAACTTCAACGTGTCAGGAGGTTCTTGGTCCTAAGAAGCATCATCACAAGGAATGGATCTCTCTGGGAACCCTAGACAAAATTCAAAAAAGGAAGAACAAGAAACTAGCAATTAACAGCAGCCGAACACGAGCAGAGAAAGTCAAAGCACAAGCAGACTACGCAGTAGCAAACAGGGAAGTGGAGAAAAGCATTAAAGCCGACAAGCAGAACTACATGGGAGAACTAGCAACGGCGGCGGAAAAAGCTGCAAGAGAAGGGAATATGAAACAACTATATGATACAACGAAGAAATTGGCAGGGAGATATAGCAAACCAGAGAGACCAGTCAAAGACAAAGAAGGAAAAACAATCACTGAGATTCAAGAACAGAGGAAAAGATGGGCAGAATACTTCGAGGAACTGCTGAATAGACCAGCCCCATTGAATCCACCGAACATCGAAGCAGCCCACACAGACCTTCCAATAGATGTCACTCCACCAACGATCGAAGAAGTCAAGATGGCCATCAGACAAATCAAAAGTGGGAAGGCGGCGGGACCTGACAATATACCAGCAGAAGCATTAAAGTCAGACATTGAAATAACTGCAAACATGCTTCACCTTCTATTCAAGAAGATTTGGGAAGAGGAACAAGTGCCAATGGACTGGAAAGAAGGATTTCTCATCAAGATACCAAAGAAAGGAGATCTGAGCCTATGTGAGAACTACAGAGGTATCAGTTTGTTATCAGTACCAGGAAAAGTTTTCAACAGAGTGCTGCTGAATCGGATGAAAGACGCAGTAGACGCCGAACTAAGGGATCATCAGGCTGGATTCCGTAAGGATCGGTCGTGCACAGACCAGATTGCGACACTACGGATCATCGTTGAACAATCAGTTGAGTGGAACTCATCACTATACGTCAACTTCATTGACTATGAGAAGGCGTTTGACAGCGTGGACAGGAGAACATTATGGAAACTTCTTCGACACTATGGAGTTCCTCAGAAGATCGTCAACATTATCCAAAACTCATACGATGGACTACAGTGCAAAGTGGTGCATGGAGGACAGCTGACAGATGCATTTCCAGTAAGGACCGGAGTCAGACAAGGCTGTCTACTCTCCCCATTCCTCTTCCTTCTAGTGATTGACTGGATTATGAAGAATTCGACATCTGAAGGGAAATACGGAATACAATGGACCTCTCAGAATCAATTAGATGATTTGGACTTCGCAGATGACCTAGCCCTCCTCTCTCATACACACGACCAAATGCAGATGAAGACAGCAAATGTAGCAGCAGCCTCCGCATCGATAGGCCTCCACATTCACAAAGGAAAGAGCAAGATTCTCAAATGCAACACAGAGAACACCAACCCAATCACACTTGATGGCGAAACTCTGGAAGAGGTGGAAACATTCAAGTACCTGGGGAGCATCGTTGATAAACAAGGAGGATCGGATGCTGATGTAAAGGCGAGGATTGGCAAGCAAGGGCAGCGTTTCTACAATTGAAGAACATATGGAACTCAAAACAACTCTCAACCAATTTCAAGGTCAGAATCTTTAATACGAACGTCAAGACAGTCCTACTGTATGGAGCTGAAACGTGGAGAACTACTACGACCATCATCAGGAAGGTACAAGTATTTATAAACAGTTGTCTACGCAAAATACTCAACATCCACTGGCCGGATACTATCAGCAACAGCGTTTTATGGGAAAGGACAAACCAGCTTCCAGCTGAAGAGGAAATTAGGAAAAGACGTTGGAAGTTGATCGGACATACATTGAGGAAATCACCAATGTGCATCACGACTCAATCCCTAACTTGGAATCCTGAAGGGAAGCGGAAAAGAGGAAGGCCAAAGAACACACTACGCCGAGAAATAGAAGCCGATATGAAAAGGCTGAATAGCAACTGGAAAGAACTGGAAAGGAAGGCTCAGGACAGAGTTGGATGGAGAATGCTGGTGAGCGGCCTATGCTCCTCCACAAGGGGTAACAGGCGTAAGTAAGTAAGTATAACCTATGTAGACATAATAAACTGTTCACTATTAGTGGAAAATTTTTAATAACATGTTTATTTTCCAGTCATTTTACTGATGATGTCTAGCAAGACTTTGAGAGTCTTATGATGAAAAAGTAGTCTAGTAGAGAGTAAAGTTCTTCAATATGGTCTTG